GCATTCCCAGCACCCTTGAAGATGCTCACCCTCTCAGCACGTTCTATGAAGCACAACCACGGGACGTGAGAAGCACTGTGGGCTTTTAATGGGTTTCAGGAGCCCGGAGGAAGAAGAAGCACAGAACCAGGGCAGCTCTGTGCCTCCCGCACCCAGCAAAGCCCTCCCAACAGGGGACATCCCCAGATGGGGGCTGTGCGTACTGTTGGTGTTTCAGCAAAGATCTGCAGGTCGCTGCCCTCAGCATCGTTGTTATCCTTGGAACATCCTCGTCAAGGGAATAAGAATCACTTCCTGCCTGACTTCTGCCAAGGCACCCAACCAGATTCCCTCCTTTGTCTCACACTGAACTGCGGTGCTTTATTGCCCTCCTCTCACTGGAGAGCAGCGCTGGGTTCCACGGAGCAGGAACTCCCTCAGCCTTCAGCTCCCACAGCTGCTCTCATCTGTTTTCTGCCTCAGCCACACAGCAGCCATGAGGGACTCGAGCTGATGATAGAAGCTTTATGAGGCGTGGAGACACGGCGTGACAGCGGCAGCGCGGTAATGGGACGGCGCTCAGCGCTCAGTGCAGGGCACTGCCCAGCTGGGAAATCACTTCCCCAGCCTGCAGACATTCCTTCCCTGTCACGGGAGGTCTTGAGGAGCAACAGGTCCAATCCTGCTCCATTTGCAGCACGTATCGACCTGCTATCAGCGCTCCCTGTCAATGTTCCAGAGCAGCAGTGCTGCCATCAATTAGGAGATGCTCCCTGCTGCATTAAGCCCAGCAGGCAGAAGCCCTCAAACTTGTGCCCGATTCCAAGCACGACTGCTTTCTGTGTTACTGCACTTTCAATATGAGGCTGGTCTCTATTTATCCCCCTTGCCAAAACTTGCTCACTGGACGGAGGACAGCGAGGGCACTGCAGACAGCTGGGCTCCACGTGCTGAGCAGTTCGGGGCAGGGAGGAAAGCAGTGTGCTCTGATGCCGTGGTGGAGCGAGGCGAGCAGCGTGCGCATGGACTGCAGGCAGCAAAGCAAACCCACGTGCTGTGCTGCTGAGAGGCATCCTTTCATGCTGCACAACTGCTTCCTCTAATCAGCTCACCGCTGAGGACTCAGACAACAGAACACGTTTTCTCCTCAAAACAAAGAGCTGATTGCTATTGATCCGGAGGTGGAAACAGCCCCCAGTTGTCCCCAGCCGGGGACTGCCTCAGGGCCCCTCCGTCCCCCTGCAGCCCCAGAGCCCCAGCCAGGCTGCAACACCTGCAGTGCAGCCCAGGTCCACCTGCACTGCACAGCTGGACTCCTGTACAGCACAACAGCACGGGATTCCCCTCGGGATGGAGGCTGAGACGATGCTCAGCTCTTGCTGTGCTCAGCAGAAAGCTGTTTCCATTCCAACTCCTGTAGCTGTGCCTTCCTGCCGCGGATGGGTTTTGCAGTGCTGGTTGCTGGGTGGTGCGAGGGCTCTCCCCCAGGTTTATCGCAGGGGGTGCAGCTGCATTCACACACAGCACTGAGCTCCCTCCTCTGGGAGCAGGGTGGCAGCAGGCTGAAAGCTGTCCTGTCATGATACAACACTGCAGCAGGGACGAGCAGGTTTGGCTCTGTTTTGGTTTTTTTTTCAAACATAAAAGCACAAGGAAATCGCTTTTAGATCTCAGAGACCAGAGCTGATCTGATATTTAAAGCCTGCCACAACTCCGTCACACAGGACTGGTAATTTCTTCTTCAATTTCTCAGCAGTCCCTCTAGAACGGCGTGCAGCAGATTTCCCTAATTCACATTATCAGCACCATTTGCCTCACGAAAGACAGAAGGACCACCCGAGACCGAAAGCAAAGCTGCTGCCCTCCAGGTTTCCCCTCTGTGGGCTGCATCGTGCCTCTGCTTTCAGGCCCCGGCTGAGCCATGCAGTCTGAATCTGCTGCCCAGCAAACGAGCAGCACACACAGAACTCCCTGAAAGAGCAGCAAATCTATTCCCTCCCCAGGCTTTCAGACGCCACGGATAATTGATGCATGACTCCACGAGACAAAGAAATAAACCGTTCTTCCTTCTGAAGGCCCCTCCTGCCTCCCGAGCTGGGCAGCCTTTGACCTTGAGCTCTCGCATTAATGCCTGCACGCAGGCGGCAGGATATCACACACACACCCCGCTCATCTCCTGGGGCTTCGCTTTCTTCTGCCCCTGAATAATGGCAGCTTTGTCCTGTGGTAAATGAAGGAGCAGCCACTTTATTGCAGGCCCAGCTTGTTGGCGAAGATAAACCCAGTGAAAAATGTCACCTGCCGATGCAATCCGCCCCGCGTGCCACTTTAGCAGCTGCTCTATCCCAAACACACATTATCACCAAACAGGTGGAGTAATGGCAGCGCATACAGCAAATACATAAACATGAGAGCAGGAGGAAAGGTGGCATTTCATCTCTCAGTGCTGCAGCCCCGGCTTGGAGACCCGCTTGGTTTAGCAGTGCCAGCAGCCGGGCCCACAGCGAAGCCCCTCTTCACCCCATTGGCACCACAGTGCCCAGGAACGGAACTCCTGGGGGCGGGCAGCAGAACCCCTGCAGACAGCTGAGCTCAGGCAGGAGCTCAGAAGGGGGACAGGAGGGAAGCGCCCCAGAAGTGCAGAGCTGGTTGGGACTTCAGGCTGGAGCAGCTGAACGCACGGCTGCGCTCTGAGGCGCTGGGGCTGCCAGCCATCGCAGCCATGGGGCAGAAGGCAGACAGACACAAGTGCTGTTTGCAGAACAGCTGCCCAGAGCTGCCTCCCACCCCGGCTCTCGCCAAAGACTCAATGCTGTGAGCATCACTTAAAGCCATTTCCAAGCAAAGGCCAACAGTTTAATTCTGCCGCCCTTTGGCAACCTCGCTTTGATTTCTCACTGAGGTCCCGAAAGAAGTGGAAGGCTTGGATTCAGCTCAGCAGAACACAAACATGAAAGCCGTGTGATGAATTACCTCCGACGGATCCACCTGGGACAGTGCTGCTACCCAGTAACCAGGCAGCAACCGCGGCTCATCAGCGTCACTCGGAGCTCCGCGATGGGAGCGTGTGGGAGACACCGGCTCCATCCTGCTCCCAGCAGAGCCGCTCACAGCCGCGGGGCGACGGTGCGGCCGTGCAGCAGCAGCAGGCTGAGCCTTGGCAGCGCTGCGCAGCCCTCCTGGGGTGTTTAGATTTACTGTCATCATTAAGGACAAAGACGCAAATGTCAGACGTAAGGCATCCCGTAATGGATTTAATGTAGGCTGGAGAGGAGTTAACTGAAATGCAGAGCATTCGTCTCGCTTTAAGTAATTATCCTTGCAGGAAGAATACTGCTACCAAAAGCAAGCCTGCAGTCATTGCTGACACCTTCCCCATGACCCCTCTCCTACTTAAAATTTCTGGCTAGCTTTACAGAAAGGAAAGCGAGGCTGGCTCATTAACGGAGGCACAAAGAACGACTACAGTAGGTTGGGATGGAGTCCACACGGTAATCAAAACAAGGCTTTGTAGTTAGCACTGAATTCCTGCTGTCTCAATTACGTTTGTGGAGCCTAGCCCGTGCTGCACGCAGCTCTGCGTGGTGAGACTTTTCTTTGTGCCTTATTGGCTGCACGGAGTGGGACTGTGAAAGCAGTTTCCTTGACAACATTTTTTTTTATGGAATCTTTTTTTTCCCCCTCCCTTCCCCACTCTGTGGCTGCACGACGAGGCCTCGCTCGGAATCCTGACTCGGAATCCCGGTTGCAGAGATACCTGCAATGTGAATGAGCATCACACACAGAAGTGCCCACCAGGTCCCTGTCCCAAGCACTGCAAACAGACGGGGCAGCCTCGCTAACAGCTGTGAAGAGAGGCAGCAATTAGAATGAAGTGCATTCTGCAGCTCTTCCTCCAGGTTTTTCTCCCTGTCAGCCTGACCACATTTCACAACCAGTCACTTCATTCTCAGTGCCTAAGGAGTGAAGGGAAGAAACCTACAGCTTGCACAGACCCCACAGCCACCCCAACTCCGGTCACACAGAAGGTGCCCCGCCGTGCAGCCCGCCCCACACTGCTCCAGCCCCCCAGGCAGCCCCCACAGCCCCAGGAGCCCACAGACCTGCACCCAGCTCCCTGCGCCCACGACTGGCTCGCTGCCCCCGAGCAGCACAAAAGCACGTGTCAGGACTGCTGAAATATCTTCCAGCAAAACAGACGCTCCCCTCCCTGCCAAACGCTGGAAGGACAGGATTGAAGCGTTCTGCAGGAACAAATCGATCCCTGCGTCATTCTCAGAAAAGCAGGAGGCTGCTGCTCTCCCAGCACTTTGCTCTCCTACCTGAGCTCGCAGGCAGCCCTGAGATCAAGAACCCTCTGGTGCTGCATGAACATCTCCCCCAGCCCCGCTCAGCCCCAGCCTGATGGGTTCTGCTGTCTTTTTCTCTAGGAGAATTTTCTTATTTCAGTCCTAAAGCTGTTTATATTTCACACAAGTGTCCTCTCCCCTTTCACTGCTGTAAATTGAAATTTGAAATGGCAATAAATCACAGACAAAGTGGCAGAAGACTCAGGCTGCACGGAGAATTACTGCAGCTCAAGGTACCCCAAAGCACTGAGTCTGGTCAGTTGGAATAACCAGCAAGATCACAGCACCCAGCGAGCCCATGAGACAGCAGCCTTTTGGGTAGCAAGGACAACACAAATCAGAGACAAAACAGCAGCCCAGGAAGGTCAGCAGCTCAGCTGGCCTTACCAAAGATCACGTCCCGCCGGGCAGAGCGCCACGCTGTGCCCCACTCTGCAGCACCACAACCACCAGCAGCACCAGGAGCACCGGGGACGAGCCTTCAATGAAGGGCTGCAGCCCCAGCGTTCAGCAAAGGCTCCCTGAAGGCCAAAGCAGCACCATGAAGCACAGGAGGACGGCCTGGACCCGCTCTGTGCCTGCTGCTGACGCAGTGCGCAGCCCTAAAGGAGTCACGGCACGACTCGGTGCCTTCGGTTTCCCTCACCAGGCAGAGAAGAAGCAACTGCTTACCCATTTCTTTTCTCACTGGAGCTCTTCTTATTCCTCCACAGGTTTGGATCAGGAATTTTCTTCCACCGTTGGCTCTCGGCGTCCCTCATTTGCATTCATCTACAAAGTTAAGCCCTGAAAGAAAGGGCACAGTCACAGCCACCTCCAATTCCAGCCGCCCTGCCAGCATCACCGCAGCCGCTGCCCAAATAAAGCCTCCCAAGCTCTGTGTCTCACCCACAGCCACCTCTCCAGGAGCCCCGCTCCCAGCCCAGCGCCACCCCACGCTGCAGGCTGTGCTCACACAGGGCCACCCCCAGCCAGGCTCTGCTCTGTGCTCTCCAGCCCAGGGCCTGGGAAGCAGAACGCAGGCAGTGATCAGCATCTGCACCAACTGCCAGGTGAGCTCTGTGAGACGGCTTCCTTTGCTTGGTCCCACCAGCAGCACTACCCGGAACTACAGGAAATGCTTTGTAACTTGTTAGTTAGAATTGCACTACGATAGAAGAGCAGACCATGAGTCCAACAGTTTCCTATCCATGCAGTCACTCCATTTCTGCTTATTCTTAGCTGCTCCAGAAGGACCACTGATATGAGCAGGCACATGAGCAAGAGCGATCCCCACTAAAAGCACCCATCAGTAACTGAAGTTACTTAGATAGGAGTGAAAAGAATTACCAAGAGAAACGAGCAGCTCCCATCATACAGAAACACCATCAGTGCAGTTGGAATGGTGGTATTTTTATAGTGATGAGCCTTCGGTTAAGAAAATGTTCCTTTACTGCACAGCAACTGAAGAGGTAAGAACTTGACAAGACAAAGCAAGAGCCTGGTGTTAAAAATCCCCAAAGGAACAACAAAACCACCACGCTGCACAAAGCCATCCTCACTGCAAGAGAGACACAACCCGACAGCCGCTGCTTCCAGCCTCGTGGTCAAAGTGCTTTATTATCTCCTTGCCAACAGGGACCAGAAATTTGTTCTAGTACACTGGTGGGAAAATCTGATAAATGCTAGGAAGGCGATTCCAGGCTGCTAGCAACATATTTCTGTGATGGCAGCAAAGAAAGTTGATTGGATTGATATCTACGACAGCAGAAAATAGCACCTTAATGCCATTTCAATAAATAATGCATCTCAGCTGAGTGGCACTGAGCAATGGGGGGGGAACCGGCCGGGGTGCAGCGCTGCAAACTGACTGATGGCCACCCCAAGGCAACGCACCCCGTCCAACACCTGCAGGCAGCACAGGGCCTGGTTTTGTCCAGGGCACAACAGCAGGTTTGCACCAAAAACCTTTGACAGTTCTCAGGAATGCTGCCAAAGACGAGGATGATGATGATGATGTTTTTGAAGAAGTCATTTTGAAGAAAGAAGACAGTTCTCAGCACTGCTCCAAGGCAGCACAGCAGCTCCCAGCAGCTGCAAAGCCACCACCAAGCTCCAGCCGCGTCGCAGTGTGGATGATCAGGAACACGGGGGCACGGACAAACTGGACCGAAGGCCTTTGTGGATGAGACCAAAGAAGAGCATTTAATGTTGATGACCTGCAATACATTTATTAAGAGCCAGAGGGAAGAGACGTTTTACTGCAAGAATTTCATTGCCCTGCATCCAAGTGCTGAACCAAGGCTGTGCCTGCTGCACCCAGCCGCCCGTTCCCCCATTCATCTGTGCCTGTGCTGCATGACAGCCCAGTATTCTTCCCTCAATTAAGGCTGCAGTCATAGTAGGTGATAATTAGTACATTATAGATCAGAGTAAAAGCTAAGGGGAAGAATGCACAGTTATACCTACAGCATGTAAAATATATTTAATTTTATTGTTCTTCTGAAGGCCCCGGGTTTTTGTTGCCAGCCCAGCTCAACGCCTTCCCTCCAACCAAACCCCCAACACCTGCCCAGTATTTCATCATACTAAAGACACCCATTTCCATTGCAGAAACAGCTACAGCATCAGCTTCTAGCTTGCGAGGGGAAAGCAAAGCCAGAGCCAGCTGCCTTCAGCACGATCTGCCTTCCACACAGACTGAAAAATGACCAGATTCATTATTCCTCTACTGTAGGCACTGACAGCACACACTTCTGTATCTCTCACCTACTGAAGAAATCTGAACCATCACACACCTTAAAGGGAAGAAGGAGCTTGGTACAACAACACAGCTTGAGTCAGGCACGGACTGAGCTCAGTGCAGTGCAGTTTTTAGCTGCAGATCTCAAAGGTCTGGCTGGGCAAGTACCATTATTTTCTGTTAGATCCATAAATCCCTCTGAGGAAGAGAATTTTGAAGTGCAGCACTTGTTTTCTGAAAATATTTGTGCAGTTCAGCTGCAAATTAACAACAGAACTGTCAAATGGGTGCAGTGAAGGCAGGTCATCCAGCCAGCAGCTGCTATTGGTGGAAGACAGGTACAGGTCTGCACCCAGCACAGGCACAGACAAAAATCTTTGGTGCCCCATGGCAAAACCTCACAGGAGATTATGCTCCTCAGCCTTTAATTGCTGAATGCCACAATGTCAGGTGAAAGCAAGGCGTCCTGCTGGCAGGGCACCACGTTAACAGGGTTTGGTAGAAGCAGCCTGGATGATGCTTTTTCAGTCTGTGAAATGATTGCCTTGATTCAGACTCCATCCGTGGGCTTACGTGGTGCCAGCCCACACAGCACACTTATGGCCTGCTAACAGTAAACACGTGCTGAGCACGTTGGTGTGTAACTGGAGATCCTCCCTCCAAAAGAGCCTAATGAAAAACAAGGCAATCAGTGGTTAAACTGAACTGTGCACGAGGGCCAGGCTGGGAAAATCTCCCAGGCATTTCTGTGTGGACATCTCTGTGTGCATACTGTATTCACACCTCATGCACAATGCAAACGAGACCCCCCCCAAGCCCTGAATTATTCAGCGAGGCCGAGCACCCAGGCAGCACCAAGGAGCCTTTTCCTCCTCCTCAAGACAGGTGAGTTAAACTTCACTCCTTGTCCAAGCTGCCCCTCGCTCACCTATGTCACTCCTGACCATCAGTCTTCTGCCAGGATAGATTGCTTTTATCTAACAACACAAAGACAAGCAACATCCCAGCCAAATGCTTTGGAGAAGTAAGATTTGGACAGACAGACACACAGCCAACGTCGTTAGCTCCCACCAATCAGAAAAGGCCTGCAGGACATTCGCCACAGACACCCGGCTGAGGATCAATGCTGAAGCCCACCAGGAAGCTGCTCAGCCCCACCAGCACAGCCACCAGGAAGCCCAGGGCGCCCAGATGGGGCTGAAGGCCAGCAGGTCGCTCCCAGCGCTGCCAAGGCTTCTCCTCACACCTGGCTGCTAAAGAAAGGCAACGCTGAGGAGAGCCCCACTGGAACGGATGCAGCGGCCCTAATTGAGGGGGACTTTTCTCAGACCAAGAAAAAAAATCGTTTCTGCACAAGCCAATGCTCTGCTGGTTTTCCTTAGACATAAAATTTACTTTATTTCTTTTCTTAAAAAGTTAAAAATACAGAGGGTTCGGAAACTGATTTTCTCCTTGCAGATGTTCAAACTGCAGCTTAAGGAGAAAATAATCCTTCACTGAAATGTTGCTCTTAATTTTTTATTTTATTTTTTCCAATCATCACCATCATTAGGACAGAGGTTGAGGAGCACTGACTCCACCGCTCATCTGATGACGCAGTTTGATTCCAGATTCACATTTCCAGGTGCCAAGAGTCCAGAAAACAGTGCCATCTTCATCTGAGATTTTCTACTGAACACAGCAGTGACTGTTGGCATCTTTGAAGCGTAATCGCATCTTAGGTCGGTATTTCTCAAGGTAAAGCAGCTGTTTGGAATTGAAAGCTCCCCTCCTTTTCCTAAAACAAACAGAACGAAGGCTGACATCAATGGCAAAAGTACTGCTTCAGTCACTGCGATACTCAAGCTCGCATATTTCAAGGCCTTTCTGTATCCATAAAACAGTGTCTGCGATAAGCTGTGAGCCCACTGGCAACCCAGGGAAAGGAGCTGGGCCAGCGCATGCACTTCATTACCCACGTGCCAATATTACAATCAAAACCCCGTTAGCAAGTTTCAGGAGGTTTCCTTGCATTGGGAGAGTTTATTTCCAGCAGCAGCAGCAGCCACTGAGCACCACAAGGTCACCCCTTCCCTGCAGATGCATGTGCTACTGAGATTAGCCAGGCAAGCCCGAGGCAGCCAGACAGAAACACGTAAGAGATGCTCAGAAAAGAACTTCTCAATGTGAAAGGTACTGTATCTAGGAAGAGGAAAAAAAGGAATTTAAGAAAGGGCAAAGTTCAGAAAAATCTGTTGACAGCAATATAGTTTACAAAGATAACCAAAGACCCTGGGAATCCATAAGGAGACAAAATGCTTTCTGGGCAAAGCTCATTCAGCATCATCATACCCGCTGGGCTTCATTTCAAGATGCGATGCTATCAGCCAGCAGAGCTCCGCAGGCTCATCCTTTACCAGTTCTGCTATTTCCCAGATAAGGGGCTGCTGACATCTCCTGAGTGGCTGCTGCCCTCGTGCACAACGCCTGCACAGTGCTGCCCTCGCTCACTTGCTGGGAAAATGGTGCTGCTGGGGACCCAAACCACCCTGGTTTTTTGGGCAAGGAGCAACCGGTTCACAGCCAGCTCCAACCACAGAGCTCACAGCCCTGCCTGCAGGCCTCCCCCAGCTCCAGAAGCTTTGGGGTCCTCGGTGCAGCACCTCGATGTGTAAGCCAAGATTTACAATAAATCAGAAAGAAAAGAGAGTGGGGGGAAAACACCTCATCTGTAAACAGACAGAAAGGGCCAAAGCCTCAGCAACCGTGTCAAAGTCACGTCTGCCACTGTTAGCTCATAGCAAGAAGAAAATGAGTCAGAAATCAAATAAGCTCTGCTGAAGATGCATGCTGCCCAAACAGAACAAACGGAGAAAAGGAAGTTGAACTTACTGCCTTATAAACTGAACTGCATCTTCGTACTTCATTCCACATTCAAGGAGAGCAAGTGCAACCAGGACAGGAGCCCTGCAGGAGAAATCAGTACGTAAGGAATACCCAAGGAAACACTACGCTGAATCCCTCCAAATACATCGAGTTTATCCATAAACAAACAGCTTAAACATCTTCTGTTTGAATGTTATC